TGGTATTCCCCCGGATAAGCTGGAGGAGGTGGCTGGGGAGAGGGAGGTCTGGGCCTCTTTTCTTAGGCTGCTGCCCCCGCGACCCGGCCCCGGATAAAGCGGATGAAGATGGATGGATGGATGGATGGATTCTTTACAAATCCTACCATGTGGATTCATGGATTTTTTTTTTCACATTCTGTCTCTCACAGTTGGAGTGTACCTCTGGTGCAAATTACTGACCTCTGTAATCATTTTAAGTGGGGGAACTTGCACAATCGGTGGCTGACTAAATACTTTTTTGCCCCACTGTACATACCTGAGTGCCCAGCCCCAGACACCAAGAACCACCAACGCACCGACCCCTGAGGGCATCAGTCACCGGCAGGGAGTGTGGTGAGGGGAGATAGGCCTTGGAGGGCCTGGGAGTTCCCAGAGAGGTGGAGTCTAAGACCCGACCTGACATATAGACACAGACAAACAGGCACACACAGACACAAACATGCATTCCCACCCTCATGCACACATATACAAACACTCAGCACTCACCCAACGTAGGGATTGACCTACATGGACACTGTACATATAATCACACTCCCCAAACAAACTCTATACCCCGGGTCCAGGTAGCCTCGCCCCCAGAGGGGGAAACAGCACCCAGACCCAAGAGATGTTACCCTTTCCTCCGGGGTGGAGGCAAGCAGACCGTCCCAGGCTCCACAGCAGCAGGGGGGCCAATCGGACAGCCAACATCTCCTCCCAGCCCCCCCGCTAGCAGAGAACGGGGGTGTGTGAAGACCCCAAACCTCCCTCCTCTCGCTCATGTGTAGTGTTGCTGCGTGTTGTTCTAAAGTGCATTTAAAACAAGGGAGAGCATGGTGCTGCTGCCAGAGAGCTGCAGGTGTTAGCACGGCCCCTCCCGAGAACCCTCAATGTCTACATGGATTTAAAATTGAGAGGTGGGCACCGGCGCCAGAGGTAGGTTTGAGTACACAGACCGTCCACTGGACTCCGTTAACGTGCCCACCCTCAAGGCCCTATATATGTGTGTGTGTTATGAGAGTGTAAGTAATGTGGATGTCTAAGTTGTGAGATAAAATTGAGGCACAGGTGGCCAGAAGGGGACAGAGGGGGGGGGGGATGTCTCCCCTGCACCCTGGTGACACACCTGCACCCCAAGGCCCTACCTGTGTGGGTGAGTGTGGTGGAGCGGGAAGAGGGAGACAGCTGGGGATGGGGAGGAAATGATGTTAACAGGTCTGCAGTTTGTTCCACGTGGCGTCAGTCGATGTGTCCGAGGTCGACTTCCTGAGGCCCCGATGCTCCGCGAGTGTCCAAGCTGGGTGAGGCGTTAGCCAAAGTGCTAGCAGCATCCTGGCTAACGTGTGCTTTGAGTCAATGTGATATTTTAAGCTGGAAGCGCTTCGGTGAAAACAGAATTCCTTCTTGCACAACGTGCAAAATACCTTATGTGGGTCGACTGTTCCCTCTTATTTTTTTAATGCTCAAATTTCCCACGGAGAGGGCCGAAGCGCGTTTATCATCTTCCACATCGAGTTGATTGGTTCAGCTGCACGTCACTACACACCAGCTGCCCCGTGCGCATGTGCGAAGCTGACTCTACTTGGACAAACTGCCCGAAATGCCTTTATAGAAACATTGCAGGGATTCTGAGTCGCTCTGCACTCCAGGTGTGTTAAAAATTGTAATCCTGTTGCCCGTGATGGCGGATTAATTTTAACACATTAATTTTGACAGCACTAATATTTATATAATCACAACAACAGTTGCCTCGAGGCACTTGTATTGTAAGGTAAAGACCCCACAATAATAATAAGTACGTTCTAATCCTGTAATCGTAGCAAGAAAACAGAGACGCGGGTTTACCATCGTTCATATTATCCTGACAGGGATGATAGATTTTCTGCTGCATGTTTGTCTCAGTGAGCCCACCTGGTATGCGTGTATACTTCCTGCACGCTCTCGATCAAAGCTGCCTTCTAATCCTTCTCTTCTCTTCTTCTAGGTACTCCTGTTGTTGTGTATAGCAGACTGGATGGTGCACTCAATATGGAGGAGCGGCAAAGACCCAGACAGTTTCTCCATCCCTTACCTGACGGCGCTAGGGGACTTGTTGGGCACCGCCCTGCTGGCACTCAGCTTTCACTTCCTGTGGCTCATAGGAGATCAGGACAGCGACGTGGGCGACTGAAAGCGTGCCACTTCTCCGTCTCTAATGCCCTTAAGCCTTGTTGTACTGGCGGTGCTCCCTGTTGCTGGTCAGCACATTCCTTAACTTCACATCCTGGATGAAACTTTTAATCTACACAAGGGTTTAAAAATTGTTCCTGTTTATTTCTACATGCAAACCACATCGTACTCGTTAAATTTCTGTTTTTGTGTAGCGATTGTGACCTGCATCATTTGCACCAAAGCACTGCTGGTCTTGTTCACTGGAGCAGGAAATCACCAGCCATCGCCCACAAACCTGAAGAAACCTTAACTGGTGGACTCTGCAGCCCAGCATCAGTCAGAGGCCTTCAGTGAAAAATTAAAAACATGTCTTATATGTGGAATATATTTTGGGGATTGTGTCTGCCACCATGTCTAGTAAGATCAACAAGTGAAGCCTGACTGTTAGCAGATGAACTCGACTGCTACAGACTCGAGAACAGCTCGAGTCTGTACTGATGGTACGAAACGTTTACCTGTGTACTTTTGTTTTTATTTGTTTCATGGTTTGTGTTGGATTTCTCTGTTCTCTGCATATTTAAGGGACGTTCCTCTCCTGTTGTGCCCGCGTTCTGTGCACCAATCAGCTGTGGGCTGGACATCTGGGGCCGCCTTGTGGTGTGTGGCCTTTTCAGCAAAAATGTAAGCTTCTGTGGTTTGTTTTCAGAGGGCGTCCCCGTGGATCCCACTCTTTCTGATCAGTCTTGTGGAGAGCCACTGCTGTCACTTTTTTACTTTCTCTGTGTTCTCAGTGTTTTGTGGATCGGGGACCAAAACGTCTGCTCAGCACTGATGTTTGTTTGAATTTAAGTTTTAAACCAAGAATCATCTTCTTAAAGATGCTTGTGTTGGAAGGTGAACAGGGGTCAAAACAGATTATGCCACATTGCTGATAGTGGACCTTTGATTAAGTCCTGACCCACAAGCTTAACAGCCACAACCTACCTGGAGCAGTGCTTGGTGGGGGTGGAGGTGTTGGTGGGTTCTGGTCTTTTCTTTTGTTACTATTCCAACACCTATACTCACAAGACTGAAGTGACAGGAAAGGATCAGGTGTTGTTTAATCTAAGATGTGCATGTTTGGTCATGTTGCAGCTGGCTACTTCCAGGGTTAATGTTTATTAAGTTACTCGGTGAGATTACCAGTAACATACCTGTTAGTCTTGGCTGAGATAACATTACATTTACCAAACATATTTAGACCTCACACCGGAAACCTGACAACTGTAAACGGGAAGCCTCAGAAGCTCTGCATAAATTACATACGAGCACTTGAACGCCCTGTGCAGGGACGTTCAGATGATTAGTGCATGTGCACATGCTTCATGTTTCAAACGAGTGAGCAGAGACGTTACTATAATTAGCCTGCGAGTGCACAGGGACACTTTTAATGATACAGCCAGTTTTGAAGTATCAGGAGGTATGAACAGCTGGTCTGACATTCATATATTCAGGATTAATAGTTAGCAGGGAGGGTATTTCTTATGTTGTACATCACTCTTTACTGTCTCAATGTCACGTAAACCTTGGTAACCCACAATGCCAACCACCACACAGCTCCGCCTCCCAGATCAGATCTTGTGCCTGTGTCAGTGCGCCCTCTGACCTCTGTTTGACCTCTCTTCCTCGTGTATGATCACTCTGATGCTGTTTACAATTCCACTGTTTGGAACTTTCCTTCAAAGACCAGCCTGTCCCCGCAGGAACCTGGCAAATGTGGGAACACGGAGCGTTCTCATTACAAGGAGCTCTGTCACCACCGTCTCATAAACAGTGCAGACCGACACGGCGGCTACAGAGTCACAGGTTCAACCACAACAACCGTTCTCTTTGTTGGGAGCCTCACTGCTCCACCTCGGGGCGAACCCAGAGCAGCCTGAGCGTTCGTAGCACCTGTCCAAAAATATGAAATACTTTCATTTGGGTGTATTTTGGGTCACTTTAAATAAAATCATCAAATTTTAGGCTAAAAAAAGAGATTTTTTTCATCCTGTCAATTATGACCCAGAATTAATTTCTGCTTTTTGTTTGTGAGACGAGGTTTGTGAAACAGTGGGACCACTGGCCTCCCACGGTGGATGATCACATGCTGTTTACACGATGAATCATCAGTTCTCAGACTGAACAGCAGGTTTCACCTTGAAAAGATTCTTTTTTCTGAATGTATTGTTTCATTATTCAGAGAGCAGTGATTCAGCTGAGTCAGCCTGATGGGAAATCATTCCCTGTAGCTCCTCCGGGAATGAGACGGGAGATTAAACCCACTCGTTTAAGTTATCCGATGTGCGTATGTGAACGTAGCCAGTGGTCCTCTTTAAACCCAAAATGTGCCTCTCGAGATTTACTGGTTGACGAGGTATTTTTCACTCTGTCACACCATTAATGCAACTTTCTTTCTCCTGTATTGTAACACTGTGCAATGAGCTTCTTTTGTACTCTCAGTTTCTGAAGAGTTTCATTCCAGAACAGCATATCCACCATCCTAACTGTGGGAAACTACATGCAGATATCAGACGCGTTCTCGGATCGGGGCTGTTTTTTGGAATGAAACCCTTTGTTTGTGGCTCATATGGGCCAGAAATGATTCAAAAATAATAAATATCCTTGATTTGAAAAGCAGTTTATTTCTGGGTGTTTTTGTTGAAGCATCATATCAAGCTGACTTCATTTTTGAAGTCAGCTTGTGTATCTTGTATGTCTGAATATGCAGAGAAGAAGAAGAGGCACATGTGACATCCCCCCTTTTTATGTGAGCGAAGCACAATTGAACAGGTTGAGCTTCTTTGCAGCTTACTCCTTTTCATCAGCATCATTGGCTGAGAGAGCAGAAAACAGAGATTCATTTATATGGTCTGCACCAGTTTAATCCCATCAAGACCATCAGGCAGGAAACCCAGCATGATCATATGTGGGTCAACCAAAGAAAACACAGGCAGTGTGAACGTGAGAATATTTGACAGTTACTATCTGGGTGTGCCGTGTGTCACTTCAGTTTTCCTGAAATCTCTTTAATCCTGTTTGATGATGATTAAAAGCATGATGCCAACTGTTGGGTTTCTTTTCTGTGTGACTGAAACAACAAAAAGTTTTTTCAGAAGCGGGAACAGAATTTCCTCGCTGGAGCCGAGAAGCGACTGTACCTCAGCGAACTGATAAGAAAACAAGCAGCTCCTGAGAAAACAGTTCCTCTAACATGATGGCAGCGAGAAATAGGATGCAGCTTGAATGTTGATTGTCACAATGCATGTATTTCTTGGAAGCAGGAGAACAGAGCATCAAAAGAAAAGGCGGGGTGGAGGGGGGCTGCTGATCCTCTGCGTGGCCTGAATTCAAAGTCTGGGATGTATAACTGATGGATTTCCCGTATCTCTTTGAACTTGGTGAGGAGCATCCCAGCAGTCTTCACAACTTTCCAGGATTGTCAAGTCGATTTTCTTGCCCTTCATGTGATCAAGCTCAGAAGCAGCAGATATAGATTATTTATGTTTGTGGATTTTCTTTTGCTGGCTGAGAGGATTAGATCAGATGTACTTTAGATGAGGGGTTTGCATCGACTAACAGCACAAGCACACAAAGAAAGGCTTGTTATGCCAGTCATGCATCAGGGTGCATTGTTGAATTTACGGGCAAAGCTTTGATTCATATGCAGTTTAACGACGCACCTCTGTGAGAGTCTACATTGTTCCTTTTTAACAAGGTCGACTGGGACATTTTGCTAGCTTAACAAACTGAATGGTTATAGCTTGTGGCTATGTACACCTTCTGCAGGCTGCTAGTTGAGCAACATTGACCCAGCAATAAAGCCTCCAGCCCCACCGCGCTCTTTCAGTCAACCCACAATACTCGGTTAGCTTGGAGTGTGTTAGTATGAAGTGTGGCATGGCTGGCAGCCTGCGTGTGCATCACTGAGCTGCTACCTGGGGTTGTCAGGGAAACAATAGATGCTTCATACACACCATAATTGGAAACACATTTTTCCAGAGGCCTGTGCGTCCTGCTGTTTAAGCTGAGGTGACTGTTGAGGGGCAGCTCACATCACAGGTCATTATTATGTATTTTCTTTAGCCAGCTAGATCGTTTTGGTAAAAACTGCCTAACTTTTGGAAACGGCCACTTTGAAATTTACTTTTTCATTTCACTGTGTGAAATTTAATGTAGGAGCCATTTCCTGTCTACTGAACTACAGCCACTGTGTAACAGCGTGCCTCTACCTGTGTTGGGGAGCTCATTATAGTGACGTTAGAACAGGATGTAAAAAATTCCCATTTCAGCTTCTTTAGTTTGGTGGGTGAGAATAAAACTCCAGATAAAAACTGTAAACTTGTGTCGAATCAAGTTACAAATGCAGATCCATCTGCTTTGGCAGCAGCCAAACGTAGCTAATATTTATCTTTTTTATTTATTGAGAGTAACTGTGATGTGATGTATAGAAAAAGACCTCCGCTTGGTTCGTGACTCTTGTTTCACTATACTCCCGGGTACAGGAGACATTTCTATAGATCATATCTTCAGAAGCTGGCACACACCAAGGCAAGCCGGAAGCTTTTGGACAGTCTTTGCATCATGAAGCAAAACTGCTGAGACCATGACAACAAGCACACCCTTGTATTATGTGGTCTGCATAACTGTATATGTTTATGCAAAATCACCTCTTTGCAAAGCTGTTCAGCTCCTAAAGCTCAGGTCATGCAGGAGTGGCCTGCAGCACATTTTTGAACCAGTTATTTAAACTGTCTTTAAGGGGGGAAACAAATAAACAACATTTGAAATTTTCTCTGAACTTCTGACAGATTATTATTGTTCATTCACACATATTAAGATAAATGAGAGTTCCTGGGAAAAGCAGAAGGCAGTACGATGGCTTTAGTTTCAGACTTAAATTAGAGACCTGCAGCATCTTTATCATCTTAGATCAGTTATTATAAACTGTTTAGATGTCTTTAAATGATTTGTCATCAACTTACACAAACCCAATTTTAGAGGTTCGTAAAAAATCTCTCAGACAAAAGCACGAGTCCTTGTCCTGTTGGATGACTTACCGTTGTGCAAATAACAAATAGTCTCCCAAATACAGTGCAAGCCCAACGTGGGGAATTACAACACTTTGTGCATTTATCATTTTTACTTTGTAGCAAATAAACAAATTGTTTCTTTTTTCTGGCTTCATGAACTAATAAATGTCTAACATCTTGCACACGTCCTGCTTTTATTTATTACAAAGTCAGAATAACATCTGTTGCTGGTAGAGTGGATGTGTAAGGAAGAGACTCCCTTACTAATATTACTTATTATAACTTACAGCACGTTACAGCACACTTTATGCAGCATCGCACATCAATAACATTTGCACACAAGAGGTTTAATTATTTATTGAATGTTTGAGTATTTTAATAATTAGCAGGGAGCCTTTTGTTCCAGGTCCTGCACAGCTGCTCCTCATCAAGAGGTGTGGTGGTTTTCTGCGAGGAGGAATGAACAGTTACTGGGAGCGAATGAGGTCTACCAGGAAAATGTGCAGAGGTAAAGCTAATGCAAAGAAGTAGCTGCTGAGATGTGATTACTCACCTGTCCTTTCTGTCCTCCAGGGTGTTTGGGCAAATATTTCCCCGAGGCTCCGAACATCATTGAAAAGTACCGGGAGAGACCGTGGGCTAAGGGAGTGTGGGGAGCAGAGATGCGTTACTGTAGGAGAGAGTATGAGCGTGCAGCGTTTAAAGCGTGGAAGTACTGACCTTACTTTGAGTTTGATTCCGTAAAAAGTGACAAAAACATTAGCGTCCGCTGTGCGTGGGAAGAAAACTTGGTTTTACAGCGGAAAAAAAAACAAGCGTCCGAGCAAGCACCGAGTGCGCTGCCACTAGAATGTGACATTCACAGAGAAACTGACCGCTGCGGCACACCTGCACCAGGGTAAACCTCCGCCTACCCCACTCCTGCTATACAGGTGAAAATAGAGCAACAGGACCGCTGAGTCTTTGACTTTATTTATTTTCTGCTGTGTTTTACTTGCATCTATTTGAAAGAGTGAGTGTAAACACACAAAACATTTTATTTTATGTGCTGGAATGTGTAGAAAATAGGTTTATATGTTAAACTAATTTCTTCCAGTCAGAGAATGTTGCAGATAATTAAATTTTTGCTTGATGCATAAAGTTAAAAGATTAAAACTAATAAAACAAGTTTTAAAAAGAGACTTTTCCATCTGATTACATTTTGTATGATGGATTATGCAGAAAAAGTAGAATTGGGCTGAAAGATCTATCGCTTTATCACCTCTTCAGGTTGTAAATCGTGTTTTTAAAAAGTAACTAAGTAACTAATTACTTTTGAAAATAAGTAATCAGTAAAGTAACAGGATTACTTTTTTCAGGAAGTAATCAGTAATTACTGATTACTTTTTTCAAGTAACTTGACCAACACTGGTGGGGAGTCTAATTAATATTATATAATAATTTATATCAAATATTGAATGAAAATGTACAATGCATGTATATATGTATTTAATAGGTTTGCTGTCGACTGTTGGTGGAAGGTTGGAATTTGGAAAACTCGCCTGACAGTAAGGCTGCCAGTTGTCATTAGACAGGAGAGTGAGCGTCATGGCCTTGTATAGACGGGCAAATAAACACCTCTTGGTCTTCCTCACTGTAAATCCAGCCGCTGCAAAAGGCAACACAAGTATTAGAATCTTTCAAAAATGTGTTCAAAATCATATTTTCATCTTAAATGTACATAAGTAGAAGGCTTTAAAAGCTTTCTGACTGGCCATAAGCTTTTCCTTTCTGTTGGGACCAACCACTACAAAAGCACGTACACATCCTGTCATGGGAGTGAATGCAGTATGAAAAGGAATCTGCACGTTCATGTAAATCATGTCAGCCTTCATTGTGTCTGAGCTGAGTCTGGCTGATGCCCCAGGGTGACATTCCTCTGCATCCAGGCTGTATGCACTGAAGGATTAAACTGTCATGCTGATGTGCTTTGACCTGCACTTCTCTGTCCTCTTCAATGAGTTCTTACTCACATGGGAAACATCATCGCTGTCTTAAACGTTGAGTCATTTCTCACAAAAACCCAGAGACAGCTGGTAGCCAGTCTGGATATGGCACCGTGACCTGTGCACCTCTGCCGTAGTGGGCTCTATTTTTTACACTGACAGTAACTGTACTTTGGACGGGGGAATATTGATGGTGCTGGGAGGACAGATGACTCAGCCTGCAGCGGGCGCTCAGCGCTCCTGAAGAGAAACACCGGTCGATCGGTCTTTATTTAGACTGTTATCAATCTTATTTGGCACCAAAGCCAAACCCAGACAGCAGGGGGAGGCTGGCAGCTATTACTCTGTGGGGAGATGCACAGCTGTGCCACTCTGTGAACACTCCACACATACTAATTGCACACGACCAGAGGGACACAAGTGAGGACACATTTCAGAGTGAGTGACAATGTTTCCTCTAATCTTCATCTGCAATCATGTGAATCCAGAAGAAATGGCCAGTAGCCGTCCTCCAACCTGCACCTGGCCTCCACGAGATATTGTAGAAACCGAGTACTTTTAACTTTCCACAGCAGGTTAGAGAGAGAGAGTATATCACGAGCTGTTTGCAAATTCTTAACAC